GGAGTGGAACACAGCACAAATTTCTTTGCGGTTCTATCTATGATCATTAGACCAGTAAGCTACTGAGCCGTGTTCTACACATCGGTTTGAGTTTACATTAAGTTGTTTGAGCTCCCGACGTGGGTCGTGGATTACCACAATATTTAATCGTGGCTTGGTTGACTTGAAAGTCAGCCGCTGCTATTACGAACATTGGGATTTTCACTGAAGCGGCGGGTTCTGGTGTGGATCTCTTAAATCCCTACACGACACTGTTGATGTTTTTCTCATTGTTTAGACTCATCAGGTAGAGATGACCAAGCCTCTATTAGAAATCGTAGCTTATCGCTTGGCTGCCTTTGCCATGAGCATTATGACATTAAGCTACCCGAGTCATGTTTGACACATCGATTTGAATTTGAATTATGGGTTTTAAAAACTCGGTATCCGTCTTGGATTTTGACAATCAATATTAATCGTGGCTTTGGTTGGCTTTGAATCAGTCTCTGCCAATACAGTCATTGGTACGGTCACCGAATTGGACTGTTTTGGTTTGCCTCACTCAACTCCCCTCTTCTCTACTCCTGCCGGTTTCGGAATAACTAAGACTCATCAGTTGGAGTTACTGGAACTGGGATTGTAGCTCGTTGCATAGTACTTGGTCGTTATCGCCATTACTGGTATTTTATTGACCACCGCGTGCAATGCACTATACCCGAATATTAACTTCTATCCGCTGTGACAACATTGCTTGCGTGCTCAATGACTTATTTATCGTAGTGTTAACCTCCAAGCCCTTTGCGCCGAATTCCACTCCCAACCCAGCTGCCTCTCCCAGGGGAATCCAATCCTAGACCAAACCATCAGGCTTGGAGTTCAGGGATGGAGATTGGCACACCAAATCCCTCCACTTCGGTGAATCTTCCGGTGGCAGTGTTTGCGATAATTGACTTGCAATTCAACTTAGGCCACGATTGTGATTGGGTGACGCAATCCAAGGTACACGGCGGGTGCTCACAAACGTGTTCTTCTTCTAACCGCTGTGTGATACACTGCTCGCGGACTTCAACGTCCTATTGATTATGAAACTAACCACTAAGCAGTATGCGTCGAGTTCCACTCGCACTTCGGCTATGTTTGCCTGATGAGTCTATACCAAGACGAAACCGTCGGTCGCGGAGTGTGGGTATGGGAGTTAGCCACTCGGAATATATATGTAGGTTATATCGATGATTGTCACTTTGCGTATTGTGCCCACCTAAAAAATATACGTGCTATGTTTTGTAGCAAACTAAATCTTCCTCACCCTCTGTACCTGTTGCGGCGGATTGCTTTCAAATCTGATCTCAGAAGGTGGTGTTTTTATGAAAGCTGTAACTGACACTCATTTGGTAAATCATTTGGCGTCTCGGCTGTCGAAGTGATGGAGTTTCACTTTAACGCGTTTCGCGGTCCACATTGAGATTACGCGTTGCATACTATTCGTAAAATAATTACCTCAATATGACCATTCAAGTCTATCGAATTAGTTTATGTTGAGGAGTGTATCTATGGTTTAACACAAACTATAACCATAGATCGAGGTAAGTGATGATACAGCATTATAGAATGGCAATCTCTCGAGCGTGTAAGCGTTACTGTGATGCAAACGGTGACTAATCGCTCATGAACGGCATCACCAGATGATGTTTTCCAAAACCAACAGCTGCCGCCATTTCCTACTTCTTCAGCTTTTAGGATTGGCCAATTCCGCGAGTTCCGGTTAGTGATCCGCTGCGTTTCGCCTCACTGTTGACATCACTGTTCCTGCTAGCGCGCAACCATGTTTATGTTGCGATTTGTGCCTCATTACTGGGCGGACGCATTTTTCAATGCATCCGAATTCAGCGGCACGCTAAATACAGCTCTGATTTCTTAACCCCTCTCTTGTTTTATATGCCCAAACGGTACCTCCCCTCCATCGCTCGTCGAGTTCAAGCATAAGTTGAACCCACATGTTTTCACCATTCCGAAGGAGTTGCAGAAATTCTGCTGCACGCTAATAACGTGTTATTTGATGAAGCAACATTAGGATTACAACATTCTGTATGGTTCCAACTGGTATTTTGTGGTGAAGCAAATTTTAATTTTTTGCCGCTAATAAGTATGAGCTTTGTTCAGTTCTTTCGGATCTTTTCCAGTTATGCCCCGCCAAAAAGTTAAGCCCCGCCACCCAAAAAAGATTATGAAAAGGGAGGATATGGAACTTGAACTTTACTCTCTAATGAAGAGGGTGGAATTGAGACAAGTCATTAATAATTTGCATGAAAAGGTCCATTTTTCGGTGTCTTTGCCTACAAACGAACTCACACAGGTAGCTGTCCACTAAAGATCGGTGTGTGCCGCATTGGCGCTTATTCTGCATCCTGTAAATCTGCCAGAGAGATTCGATGGTTTGTGTGTGAGCTCCAGTCGTTGGATCCACAAAGTTTTCGGTATGATTAACCGTTTGATGAGTATAACTCATGCCAATCATCGATTCAATGCCTTGGTATGATGCCCACATATCGGAAATGATAATTGAGCCGGGAGCGATGCAGGCCTGGATTGTGTCCAGCAGAGTGGCCGCAGTTCCATCTGGCACTGCATACAAGAACACTTCTTTAGTCTCCCGGCAAATCCCTCCGAAAATCCACTGCTGGGGAAGGACTCGCCCTGCATGGCTTTTACGACGTGATATTAGGGTTTCATCGATCTCGACATGTAGACCTGGGCCGCCGACAATCGTTGGAGTCTGCAAAAGCTGCCAGGCTCAAATTTCACTCAGAAAGTTCTTCCAGTCGACAGCGGTCGCGTGACCAATAGATAACTCCTCTGAGCAGAATTTGATTGTTGTCAAATCTTTGGACCAGCAATAAATGAATAGGATTATTGTCCTGAAATCCATCCTAGACCGCTCCAGCCAAGTTCCCTTTCGAAGACCGCTTTCTTGCCGACACTGTCGGGCATCACACCTCCACCTGTCAGAAACAGTTGAAAGTGTCATTTGGTGTCCTCGCCTGCATAAACGTTGATGATGTAGCACTCCATGGCTTTGCAAAAAGAACGTATTGCTGTTTCCTTGTCATGAACAACCGCCGAAAGCGTCAGAAAGTTCATGTCAGGTTTTACGTGCAAACGTAGAAACTTTTTGGACAAAAATGACGGTAGAAGCGGATAAGGAGTGTTTTTATGGGGCACATTAACATGCATTACGTACACTGGAGCTGGCAAACAGCGGCGGGGCTTAACTTTTCACGCGTGCCCTTTTTGCACTATTGGTGGGGCTTGACTTCTCAGGTGTACCCTTTTTGCCTTAGTGGCGGGGCTTAACTTTTTGCGCGTGCTCTTTTTGCATTAGTGGCGGGGCTTAACTGGAAAAAATCCGTTCTTTCTTAAAAAATAAATGAACTCAATGCTTGTTTTCTCTTTCCAGATCGAAGAAAGTTGCAAAGAGGCCTTCTTGTGTCTATATGGGAAAGTGCAAACGGCTGTTTCGAGCGGATGGATTGCTGGCTCTCTGCTAATGGTCCGTTAAGGAAAATGGACTTTCAAATGAAGTTGTTGTGTACTAAAGGCAGATACTGCTGCACCAATCATCAGTAAGGTGGAAAGGCCACTATACGAAACAGCAATTAACTAACAGTTTGCCGTACCGACATCAAAAAATGAGAGGAACAATTATGAACCGCAGTTCTATGCGCGCGAGAAATACGTGCACAAGCAAAGCACGCCACACAATCACTAGACGCAGAAGTAAGCGTGCGCAACTAAGCTCCAACTGATATGCAGAAGATGAGTTGATGCCTCATTTATCGGAAAGGATTCACCCTGATTAGCTATGTGACTTAATAGATATATTCCGCATGCAAATCGACGTTCTGGTTTGGTGTGGTGATCAACTAGGCTGCGTCATAAAATCCCCATGGCTTGGACCGTTTGAAGAAAGCGGCGTTGGCAACTTCTTGGAGGACTTCGGTGTGAGGTAGACGGTTGGAGTATAGACTGACAAGGCGAAGCTGGTGCCGCCGCGGAATAGTTGTAGGGTCACATCATATGCAGTTCTGGATGCGGCGCAAAGAGGCCCCGCCAAGATGGAGTGCGCAGCCGCAAACTGTTTATTAGTTTCCAAGTTGGACAGGCCGGCCGACCACTGGGAGGAGATGCAGCGGTTCAGGATGACCCGGTTTGGTGTAGGGACGGATCTTCAGGCTTTTGTTGGACCCGGCCTTGCCGGTATTAAACAGAAGGTCCAGCCAACTTCTACCGGAGAAACAGTTCCTCTCCAGTCTTCCACAGCCAACCGAAAAGTGCTTCCTGATTCCCAACGCTACTCGGGGAATGGGACTGAACGGGTTGGCG